GAGCTGGCCACACACACACACACACGCACACATAAATAAAAATAAAAAAATAAAATAAAATAAAAATAAGTGCTTGCCTGGTCCTGAGTTCAGTCCCTGGTACTCCAAAACAAAACAGAAAAAACAAAACAAAACAAAAACAAAACAAGTAGCACTCTTAATCATGTCCCGCAAACCTGTGCTAATACAAAAAGGCTGATGTAAGAGGTTCCCAAGTTTAAGGCCAGCTTAGTCAATTGAGGGAGATCCTGGCTCAAAGTAAGATGAAGAGCTGAATATGTTGCTCCTATACAGCGGTGCCTAGCATGTAGATGGCCCTAGCTTCAGTCTCCACCTCTCCACCACTAGGGGGAAAAGCATTAAGAAGAAGGGGTGATGCAAGGTATGATGGTCCAGACCTGTATTCCCAGCACTTGAGAGGGTGTTTGTCCAGAGTTCAAATCTATCCAGTCTGGAATATACAGTAAGTTTTGTCTCAAAAAAAAAAAAAAAAAAAAAAAAAAGAAAGAAAGAAAGAAAAAGAAAAAAGGGATGGGGACAGAGAAAGAAGAAACAGGAGAAGTAAAAGGAAACTATAATTGCTGTGTTTGAAATATATTCTAGAATTTCTGGGAAGATGGCAGAGTGGTGAAAGGCAGAGAGAGAGCCTCTCTGAGATTTGGTGTCCAGATGCTGAATACAGGGATGTGAGGAAGAAAGGAGGGAAGTGGGTCCCTGGGATCTAGCAAAGATCTAAAGCGGAATTGGAAGTCTACAGAAGAGCCTAGAGAGACTTCAGTGAAGAAGGAGGTGGCAAGTAGCACTTTTTTCCCCCAAGCCTTGACTCATTGTGAGGGGCAGCTTGAACCTGCGGACACACAGTGACTACTGGTGACCCCAGAGGCTTTCATGGAGAAACACAGGTGGAAAGGAGCGGCAGACTTGGAAGACTCTTGTGGCTGGTGAGTTATTCAGGTTCAGACGTCTGCAAGGAGAGGGTGATTGGGCCGTCGCCATCTTACAGAGGGGCGAACTGAGCTCAGAATTCAGAGCAGATGCAGGCTCCCGCTATTCGGTGACTTCCAGTGTCAGGGTGAGGTGGGACCAAGCTGAAGGCAGCAGGAGGTCAAGGAGACAAGTTCAAGGTGGCAGGAGGCAGATGGCATTGCTGGCTGAATAAATCATGTTCCAGCCTCACAGCCAGAAACCAGGCTGAACTTCAGTGGAGCTAAAGGTGCAGGCTTCCTGGGATTTTCCTCTCTCCTGGGATTAATCAGCATGGATCCAGACTCTGTGCACTTTACCTGTGATGGCAGACACATGCTTTGATGTGGGCATTTTTTTGCTTTTCTTTTTTCTTCTGTTTTGTTTTTTAATGTGGCCAGCTCAGCCCACCCTGGGGGCAGGGCTGGCACAGCTTGTGGTGCTGGGGATCAAACTGTGGTCCCTGAGCTTTGCCTAAATTTGCATAAGCAGGCACTTTCGACTGCTGAGCTATCTCTGTGGTCCTGTTATGCTTTTTCTTGATGGTTCTTGTTTTTATTTGAGTGTGAACATTGTTTCTAGTTTTTTGTTGTTGTTCTGCTGTGCTCTTGTTTTTGTCTCTTCCTTCTCTCTTTCACTCCTGTCTTCCTCACCAGTTCCCAAAGTTTGCATAACCTTCTTTTGTCCTCCAGCCTTGCTTCTAATCTCTTCCTGTTCTTCTCTTTCTCTACTTTTTCTCCTTAACACCTTTTAAATTTCCTTCTCTGAGGGTAAAATCACTGCTGAGAGCATATATACTGGGCATGACTTTCTGGTTTGTTTTAGATTTTGTTTATAGCCACAAATACAGTTCATATGGTCAATGGTGGCAAATTAATAGTTACCAGAGTCTATCATTTTCTAGGTTATGTTTGATGCTACAGTGATTCCCAATTGTACTAGTTTAGCCAAGGTGACATAATTTTTTTTTTCCAGTACTGGGGATTGAACTCAGGACCTTAGGCTTGCCAGGCAAGTGCTTATTCTACTGAGCTATCTCCACCCCCCCTTTTTTGGGGGTACAGGGTCTCACTATGCATCTCAAACTCATAGTGATCCTTCTGTCTCAGCCTCTCCAGTGCTGGGATTACAGGCATGTGCCACCATGCCTGATTTTTGGTGGCCAGCATGGTGGTACAACTTGCAGTACTGGGGATCAAACTCAGGTCCTCACACTTGCCAGGCAGGTGTTTAGACCACTGAGCTATCTCCCCAGCCTGACACAGATTTTCTTCCTGATGTGCCAAGGCTGAGATGGACTAAGGGTCATAAACAGTACTGCATAAAGATGCAGGCAGCTAAAACAAACAAAAAAAAAAAAAACAATACTGCAGGCTAGTGCCAAAGAACCAGGGGCTGGGTCAAATAGGCAGCATTATTTCATTCCTATTAAATGGAAGAGGTAGGATTTTTTTTTTTAAATGTATTTGGTACAGAATCTTGCTGTGCAGCTTGGACTCACAATGATCCTCCCATTTCAGCCTCCGCAGCGCTGGTATTACAGGTGTGCACCACCATGCCTGGTCTTGGTGGCCTGCTCAGCGAGCCTGTGGGGTGGGGCCAGCAGGACATGTGGTGCCGGGGATCCAACCTGGTCCCTGTGCTTGCCTAAGCAGGTGCTTAGCCTCTTCCAGCCCAGAAGAGGTAGGATCTTGCATCAGACTCAAAACCCAAAAGCTAGTTATACTTGGAAGACATCTGGGAGAAGCAGTCCTCCCCTGTTAACTTTGTTGTTGGGTATTTTTTCTTACCAATGAAAGAAAAGTAACTAAGACAACCATGATAAAAAACATATCCACACCAAGGTATATAATACTTAAGCTTCAAGAAATTCAACACAAGAACAGAATTTTTTTTTAATCTTTGACAAACTATTAAATTTTGAATAATTATAGGGTATTGGTATCTCTGATTGCAGCCTAAAATCTCAGGATCAGAAGGGTGGTATAGTGAATGTGGGTATCTGGTCTCACCAAAGTACCTGCCATTCAATGCCTGATTCTTCA